TACTCTCACACACACCCGCGCGCGCGCACACACACAATAGAATATATACGATCTGTGAAAAACACCCCCACAAATATCTCAACCTACAGGATGCAAGACGGGAAATCGAGCCAAATTGGAGTTATGATGTAAAGTGCATGTTCGGTATATACTGCGGAGCACACTTGTAAGGCAAACAATGAATTCATGTCATGTTTGGGGATGATTATAGTCAGAATTTATTTTAATTTTTTTTTTACAAAGTATGGCTATGGATATTGGTATGTTTATTGGTACGCATTATGTACTGAACGTGGTGTGTTTTCGTTATGCGCTTGCTTGTATATGTACAGTATATGCATGTGTGCCTGTATATACTGTATGTATGAAAAACAAACACAATTCTTGAGAGAGTTAATGCCTTGGAAATTGGTTTGGAATCTTCTCCTGACTGATACCCAATGACAGAAATGTCAGGGAAAGCCTACTAAAGCAGCTGAACTTTATATGCGGTTAATCGGAGGCACTTCAAATTCGGACAAATGTGCGCCAACTCCCTTTTAACATGCGATTGAATGTGATCGGTATTGTACTGAACATGGCCACATCCTCGGTTCGGGGGGGGTGTACATTTGTGCAACCACATTATCTCAGTCGTTTTTTTTCACATCCTCTCTTGAAGGGGACACACGATTCGATATGATTTCCGACAGGAGCTGTATCTAGTTGAATATTAAAAAAAAAAAAAAAGACATGAATACTTTCATATTTTGCCCATTATGTAGCAGCTGTCAGTATGATGCCGTTCACCTCAAACCACAGGCAACGTTATAAACATATTGTTATGTGGAAGACAGTCTTGCGGTGTCAATCAACATTGCGTATTATTGTACTCAAAGCAAAAGCGACTCTTCTCTCGGGTCTCATTAGACTGCAGCAAATGAAATGAATGTCAATCAGTTTTCCACTCGTGTACTTTTAGGCACTCATTTGAATGCTTCTGGAATCGTGATTTGCACGAGTGACCGTCGTGCTAACTAACGATCTTGTGGCAGCCTTGAAACCTTGTTCTTTTTTTTTTTTTTAACTCGTCTCTCGCAAAACACATCTCTTAATTTTTTTTTCTTTTTAAATTGGCCCATTTCATGAAAAACAAAGAAGCTCTGTTTCCGCCAGTCAAGCCAACATGTTTTGGGTCTTAAAAAGTGCATAATGGACGATGATGTTATCGGAGACCGGATGTCTTAACGGGCCATCCGAGAACAGTATCGTACACAAAGATGGATGGAGACCGACGCAACTTCTCAGAAAGCTGCAGCAATATTAGCTGTTCGTTGCAGAGGATAAAGAATATACGCCGGTGCTTATTGTGATCGTATGTCTACTGCACGCGTTGCTCCATCGTTTGTGTTCCAAATAATATACGTTGCCTGAAGAGTCACAACACTGCCATAACGTTCCTTTTTGCTCGTGTCGTTTTGACATGTTTCTGATCCTTTTTAGGCTGAAGCTAAATCTCACTGTGCGAGTCTCTCGTCTTCCCCGCGCCTCACATCTCCCCTGCCCGAGAGCGTGCTTTAATATGTAATGATGCCAATGTTTTGGGAGCCAGCGTTTGGCTTTGATTCGCCTGCGTCCACGCTATCATCCTTTTAATAGCGCGACACTCCCGCCGCTCGGGAAGGCAACAACTCGCCGCCAATGCCAAGACGAGCTCCCAAAGCTCTTGTCCACTCCCACGTGGCGAACCGGGCTCACTTTAATTCTGCATTCTGCCTTGTTCTTTCGGTAACAAGGCAGGAGGACAAACTCATTTAGAGGCGGCGTGTTATTAATCGCTCCCATCTTCAAAAATGACAACCTTCCAGCCATTTTAACAAATATTCCCTTTGCCTCCTAAATTATTCCCTAATATGACTTCCAGTGGGAATTAGCAAAACTCACCCTAATTATGAAGCATAATACAATTGGAATGAAAAAAAATATATAAAAAAAGTGCTGCGAGGACACGTTTCATTAAAATTTTAAAGCCTGAATATAAAGACAATTTAGGAGCGTGGAGATTAAAATCAAGCCACATAATTACAAATCTTTAATACAAGTACCCATATTGCATTTTAATCAGACAGAACAGACTTGTGAAACAAATGGGGCCAAATAGAAGGAAATGACTTTGAAATGCCTTATTGATGCTTCCGAGTGCTATTCGTTTCATCTGTGTATTATGTTGACAAACACGACACACACAAGCAAGAATTCGGGTCTGTGCGTGACGAATTTCAAGAGGGAAGTAAATTTCCATAGAACATGAAGTAAATTTGGAACCGAACCCCTAATTAAGAAAACTTTACCATTTGCTGTGTTCCATTTTGAGCAAAACAGAATCAAACTTGGACCAAACGAAACAATCCAAAGTTTACGGTTCCAAGCAAACTCTGGCACAGTTAGGTGGTGATTGCGCAAGTACGCTTGATTTAAGGGCAACTGTCTTTGGGCTCAGCATGTACTCTGGGTACTCGGTTCATGGCAGATTTTTGGAAAACGCTATTAATGACAGCAATCAAATGGGGGGGGGGGGAATGTACGACTTAAATATTGAGGTCAAATAATGCCTTAGAATCAGCGATTTCCAGAGGACTTTGGATTTGACTGTTTGCTGCCCTCACCAGACTATAACGCCCTGGCTTTCCAGCAAGCACCGTCTCATGAGCTCTCTTTGCATTGAGGATAAATGCCTGAGCTCGATGCAGTTCGGAGAGGGGGCCAGGTAAATGAGTGTTGATAAGGATCAGGTGTTTGGATTTTTTTTTTCGCCCCACCCCGACGTCCCCGTCATACCACTTCCATTCATGTCCGCCGTAAAAATTCTGTCAGCGAGGAAGTTGATTAATTAGGATATCTGTGGGCAAGTCTGGCGCTTACCCCTTCCACGAGCGTGTGCGCGCTTTCATGGTCGGCTCAGATCTCTGCCGCTTCGCAGCTCGACACAGCAAAGGCGCCAGGAGCCAGCGAGAGAGGGAGGGAGGGAGAGAGAGAGAAGAGACTTGGAGAGATGGGGAGATAATGGCAATAGCAGGTGAAAGACGGCTAACACAATCTGTAATGAGTTTCCGTCAGCTGCGGCTCTCGCCCCTTTTCTGGGTCCGCGTCCCTTCATTGAGCACGTGGGCGGACTGAGGACCGAGGAGCCAGCCGGGCCCCAGTCGGGCTTTTGCGGCGTTGTCGGGTGAAAAGACAAAACGAAAGGAACAGATGAAACTTGAGAACATGTGAACAAATCACTTGGCCGAAATGGTCAGACGTTGCGTCGGGTTGAATGTGAAGTGGAATTTGAGGGACGAGTCATTGATTCATTCGCCAGTCAGTGAATGCGCGAATGCTTGTCTGCCTTTTCCAGCGGTACCTTGACTTTTAACGGCGATGAAGTGATTCGATGAATCACTGACGAAGGAATCAACTTGGCCCGTCATATTAACCGGAGGCGTATTCTGAATTGGGTCCGCACCGGAGGAGGGTTGGATTGCCAGTGGCTCATTTGCATAAAACAGGACCGCCCCCTCCAAACAGAGCAAGGCCAGAAAGGCAAAACAAAACAAGTGAATAAACTGCTATGGTATGCTCATAGGTCACCTCAGGTTGCGATTCACCACAGGTTAACAGCAAAGTAAACAAGATGACTCCCCCCCCTCACACCCATCAGTGAGGATGGCCTCGGTCACGCCAACCCCATCATCTCGGGTGGGGGCCGTGGCAGGTATGGAGGCAGAGATAACATTAGAGAGACATCACAGGGAGATATGTGGCCGCGAGAGAGATTATTCAGCGCCGCAAAGGCAACCGGGAGGCAACCTCTGTCAGACATCAAGGCTCCAGCGTGTCCGCACAGGACAAGGACGGTGGGGAGGGGGACACAAGAGCACGGACGAATTACTGATGCACTGATGCACTCCATTTTTTTTTTTTTTTTTGTCTTTCTCGACAATGATCAAGTAAAAACAGATAAAGTTGAGCATTCAGACCCTATCAAAACAATCCGAGCTCTTGCGGACACGGGGGTTTGGTCTGCATTCCATCTCTTTCTCTTGAGTTATTGATGCCTTACCGGATTAATGGTAGAAATAAGAACAGTTCTGGAGGTGACAAACAAAGGGCGGGCGGGGGTTTGGGGGAGGCTTCCTCCTCCTCTTCAAAGGAGAAGTTCCCTGTGCTCGCCCGCCCATGGTTGTGGCGCTTGCTGCCGCTGCGAGTGTTCGCTTGCGTTTGCGGCAGCGGCGTGTGCGATTCAAGACACAAAGATGAAAGGGAGTTGTAATTACAGGGAAGCGTATCTGTCGAGTGCAGAAGTATTGGAGGAATGGCGCAAAGTGGGCCAGCAGCCTCAGGTCATTAGATCTTCGGTGAGTGTGTATGCGTGTGCGAGCCAGTGAGACAAAAAGCACAGAGGAGGGAGAGCAAAACCGAAACCGGGCGACAGCTTGTAACGTCAGTTCATCTGAGTCTACCTCTGAACTCTGAAATGTGGTGAAATCCACACAACTTTACCGGTGATGAGTCATCCCTCCCCCATTATATCATCTCTAGCACGAAAGAGTACAGTTAGCTAGCTAGCTAGCTAAGCCCACACTCTGATTCAGCATCTTCCTGGGATGTCTCAATTTATTGAACAACTGTGTGTCGTTATTTAAGACCTTATTCCCAAGTGAGTAGGTTACGCTACGGACGAGCCCACTCCCCCTCCACTGCCCAAGGGGACTCCTGGAGGCTTGTTTGCTCGCAAGCTGATAGCAAGTGTCACCCGGCGGGATATATTCCAGACACCCAAGGCTTTAAGTGGTTCGAACATTACCAGTACGAATCAGACTTGCGTGACGAAGTAGCATCCATCCATTTTTTTTCCCCGCATTCAGCGGACACGCCAGCAACGTTTGAGAGCAGAGAGAGAGGCTTGCTTTTTCATGATTTTCAAGCTTTATTTTTATATACTTGCTTCAGACTCTATAATCTCTTCCTTTTCCCTCTAGTGGACGACGATTTCATCGGTCTCAGCGAGCTGCCGGAAACCTTCCCCTCGGACCCGCCTGAACCGCTGCCCGTCTTCCTGATGGAGCCGGAGGAGGCCTACATCGTCAAAAACAAGCCCGTCAACCTGTACTGTAAGGCCACGCCCGCCACGCAGATCTACTTCAAGTGCAACAGCGAATGGGTGCACCAGAAGGAGCATACGGTGGAGGAGCGTGTGGATGAGAACTCTGGTAAGGACAACCAACACCTGTGTGTGTGTGTGTGTGTGTGTGTGTGTGTGTGTGTGTGTGTGTGTGTGTGTGTGTGTGTGTGTGTGTGTGTGTGTGTGTGTGCGTGTGTGTGTGTGTGTTTTACATTCGACAGGCTACTCCGGGTTCCTCCCACATTAAAAAAAACAAAAAAACATCCATATTCGAGACTTAATTGTCCTCAGACGTGCATATGAATGTTTGTCTTAGTGTTGTGAGTGGTCAGTGTGGTTTTCTAGAAACAATCTCCTCTTGCATTCAATCTTTGCATGCATCCAGAGGAAGGTAAGATAGTGACTCTCATGGCAAGCTAGTTTCTTTTTTTTTTCCCCTCACTGAATTCTCAGCCCCCGAAGGCACCGGAGCTATTACACCCAACAGTGCAGGCACTGATTGGCTACATTCAGCTGCTGTAATAGGAAACTTAAGTTTCTTTCTTTCCCCCACAGGTACAAATCATTTGACATTTAGCGTGTTTTCATCCGGCTGTTTACTCCTCGTCCCCATCACCCGCACATTGATTGCACTGTGGACATCTAGATACGCTTCAATCCGTAACACGGACCCAGAGAAGCAGATTCAAAAAGCGTGTTGCGAGCCAGCCTCAAAAAAGCGAAGGCGTATTGAAGTTTTGCCCTTTTGCCTGAGATGTTACTTGTGCTTTGTGTTGCTTATTGTTATTGCGAAGAAGGCGTTTGAAGGTTGCCGTGTTGCTTTGGCTCTTCGTGTCAAAGGGGTTTGCGCTAAAAGCATCAACACAGAACAACAGCCCACGCGTCAGCACACCGAGAGCCCCGCTCCAGGCCCACGGGCTACTTCCTGTGCAGATATTCATTCATGGATGCTCTTTACCCCCACCCTACAAACACACGCAAACACAAATAATCACATCTTGCCTAACATTGCAGTTGGCACACCCATTACAAAGACAAGTATGGATTTGAGATATAATTGGCGAAAATTTTCCTTGAAACTGGGCTATTTTTCGCTACACCTCAAACTGCACAGAATGTGGAGTAATATTTGTTTTTGTTTCAATCCAGTCCTGTCGGTGGCGTTATGTAGGCCATTCCACTAAAATCGGGGACATTTGCGTCCCCGGGACATGTACAACTGTGCGATAAAATTAACTTGAAAAAATATATATATATATGTATATTTTGTCTCTTGATGATATCTGTGGACTAGCCAGAATAACGTAAATGTAGATTTGTATACGATTTGAAATGCATTCCATTCCATACAAAATACTACTGAAGTTACCGCCTCTCATGGAAAACTGCGATGATGTAGCTGGCAGAAATGGAATCTTCTCCTTTCTGCGCTCACTTTCATGTCGGGCAATCACTCATGATGTTCTGAAAACAAGGACAAGATGGAGAGTCAGTCATACAGAGGCATTTTTATGTACCATGTACAAGCCATAAAGGGATCCTTATTCAGATGCGTCTGAAGATCTTTCAATACAAACAATTTGACCTTGAACGAGACTGTTTAAATGGGGGGGAGGGGAGGGGGCGAGTTATGAAATGTGTTCTTGACATTCCGCAGATGTGAGAAACCTTTGAAATGCGGTGCCGCAGACTAATTGATCAAGTGAGCGAGCCACCAAGTCAAGAATACAACAGAAGGTTCAGTGTCAGAGCAGGAGGATGAACAGACCAGACTAGAAAAAAATCAGATCATAAAATGGCATTTATCAAACAAAAACTTAATTCCCCCCCAAAATTATGGATCTAATCCAAAGAAAAAAACCTAGACCGCATGCCTCCAAAGGGCTCATCATTGAATACAATCAAATAATTGTATAATTTTGTTATTACGAATATATTCAATGAGCGCCCTTCCTCTTTTGATAAAATAGAGCCTTCGCAACATCTGACAGCAAGACTTAAATATGAGAAAAAAAAATGCTGAGTTTATCTTCAGCTCTGTTACATCTGTTAAATCCTTCAAATGAACTCTGCTCCAATTCAAGCATTCGATAAAAAATGCCGATCGGAATATAGAACATGTTTCAAAGAACTACTTTTTCCTCTCAAAGTAGTACGGGTGCAGCAATCTGTGAAACACAATAGCTGAGGAGGATAAGGGTGTCTTCCATGTACTCTATTGTAAAGGAATTTCATTCATCGCAGCATCACGCATCAGTCGGAACGCGAACAAATGTCAGCAGCGGGTGAGAAGGAGAGCTTTTGTGTCTTTACTGTCCACAAGAAAAGACTAGTTTTATCCAATGTAAGACTGAGGGCAGCAGGAAAATGGAGCACTGCAGCCAAGTGGAGATTCGGGATGATTATACTGCTGCATCACACGTCTATTGGAACACACGGGAACAAACGCAACTATGAGATGAGAAGTTAAGACTCCATTGGTAGAAAGACAACTTTATGTGAGATGAGACTGAGGCTATCAAGAAAACGGAGCACCGCGGCCAAGTGGAGACTGTGGAATGTCAAATAACGGGATCAACCAGCAGTTCGAACACACACACGAGCAAACATACCTAAGAGATGAGAAGACGAGCCTCCACGGCAAAAAAGGCAACTTTTTCCGAGATGAGACTGAGGACCGCAAGAAAACAAAACAGCCAAGTGGAGACTGTGGAGTGCACCATAATAGTACAACATGACCACATAAGCATAACACAGCCTGACAATCGTGTCATGGAATGAGCCGGTGCTGTTGGCTCCCCCCAACCCCAAGCGGCGGCGGGGGGGTGGCTGGCCCTACATCAAAGACGCTCCGAAATAATGCAGCCGCAGCCAAACGTGTCTTTGGAGAGCAAGTGACCAGACAGAATGCGCTCAACTTAGTGGACGCCAGTGGGCAAAGTCACCATACATCATGTCTGATCCAAGCTAGTAATTGTCTTCTTTTCTGCCTGTCAGCGACTCTCGACAGTCTTAACATTGCCTGTGATTTAAAATGCAATTACACGACGGAGTGTTTGTGACCCGTGTTTGAGCGGGTTACCATGGCAAAGAGTGTGAGGTTTTTTTTTTTTGCTCGGGGACTTGGAATAATAGGACTTACTTGTTGTTTGTTAAGCAATTAGTGTCGAGGCTGCTTTTTTTTTTTTAATTTATTTATTTTTTAGGGGCGGGTGCTTGTGAGTGAATAAAGGGGCCGGCGTTGGCTTCGGAGAGCCTTTAAAAGCACGGAGACCGTGCAAGAAGCACACTGATGACAACTTTGTGAAAATTACACACTTGATTGGGCGCAAGGCATTCATTCCTTTACAAAGAGCGAGCGAGCGCCAATTCATGACAAGATTGATGATTTGTCACCTGCAAAGCAAAAACAAACGGCAATCCTATCAAATTATTTTTCAAAGATCTTTTCGCGATGCGTGATGCAAGAAATAAAACGACGAGCTGAGTTATTCTCAAGGACCCGGAATTCACCGAAATATAACAGGAAGTCAGCCATTGTGGTTTTACTGGGCTTGTACTTTGTATCCAAGATGGACGGGTTACATTTTGGCCTTACGCCATCTATTGTGAGCGTAGCATGACATAAAAGTTGAATGACTTGGAGCATTTGCCATGAAAAAAAAAAAAAATTAAAAAGAGATGCAAGCAACTTGAAGTTAACTAGTATCTTGAATCGATCAAATATGGGCAGCAGACTGAGCGAAATTACCAGATGAGGTCAGCAGGCTTATTTCAGAGCCCGGGCTCTTCTGCTCGACTGATCCTTGTGATACCTTGAAAGTAAAGCGCGCCAAGAAGCTTTTTCATGTGGCCTTCGTAAGGCCCGTGAAGTCACAAATGACTCCCCTCATGTCTGCGTGGAGCTTGTCGTTATCGGCGACGATCAAATGACATTCTAAATTGAATCGTTGAATCACCGTTCGAGTGCTCCCGCTGACTCATATGAGTCCACGCGTGCTTCTGCCAAACGTCATTGTGTAGCGTGTCATCGTCATTGGTGGGAAGTGACTAAATAAAAGAACTTGGTTGCTGTGCTCAAGTAGATCTCTATAGATTTTGGATGTCTGTTCTCAATTATGTAATTTTTTTCTGACGACTTTCCCTTTATTCCTCCGGTTTGAATAGAGGAAAAAAACTGCAAAAATCGACTGACTTTTTGCTGTTTTTTGGGGGGAGGGGAATGTTTGTATGTCATGATCATTGTCATCTATTGAAAAATAATTTTTTCAACCAGCAAATGCTATTTTATATAATGTTAGCATAATAGCATCATTTCCCAATGAATATATCTAGGGGGGCTAATGCGTTTAGTAAAAAATATATATATTTTTTGTTGTGTTTCTGTGTAGATTCTCATTCATCCAAGTCACGGTAACATGCATGTTTTTTTGTTGTTTCCAGACAACGTACAACAATGTTTTATTTTGCTTTAATCCCTAATCATAGTTGATCTTACACAAATCTGATCGGCCGGATCAGATCGGCAGATATTTTACATTTTTCTGCAACATCATTGATCGGTTGCAGATGGATCAACGACATCAATGGTGCTCAAAATAGTCTCCTTCACTCCAGTGATGCTCTGCAGCCATTGTGAATAATCCAAGGTTTCTCGGTATATACAGTCAGAATTAAAAAAATATATATTTTTGGCAATATTTTTTTAAATAAGGGTAATCGATCACCCTAATTTAAGGAAATCGGCACCGACCCTAGACCTATGTTTTGGTACATTTGCCCCCTCTGTTATCCTTCCAGACAAAGTTTCTTATCCAAAACACTCGGAGCACTCACGTCTGCTCCTCTGCGTACTCGCCATAAATTTTACATGAGCAGTAAGCTGCGCGGGATGCGACTGTAAGAACCGAACAAGGCGTGTGTGTGAAGGCACTGAACCCGAACTAAAATGGCATGTTCATTTTTAAAAGCGGACTCTTTCTTTGCCCCCCACCCCCACCCCCAAGTCAGAAAATCAAGACGCACCAAGAAAACCGCACGTAGATCCCCGGATATAAAACAGTCACAGCTCAGCTCAAATGGTCCGTAATTATTTTTTATCCCCGCTCCTTAATTATTTTTATCCCCGCTCCTGCACGTTTGGAGTCTCGCATTGTCCCACACTGATTTGCTCACGCATCATGTTGTGTTCGGAATGAGATTTACGGCAGAGATTAGCATTCTGATTGAGCGAACCATTTAGTCACATCATGATATCGCGTCAACACGGGTTCCCTTAGGTGTGCTAAACATGACAGATCACGGGGAACAACCGAACAAGTATCTCACTCGAATAACAAGTCCCAACTTATTGATGGAAATTAAAATGGGCGCAACAAATCTTGTGAAGCAGTTGGCAACGCTCGCCCTCGGGCCGCAGATGTGTGCGAATACAGCTGTTGCAAAAGCGACGGACCTCCGTGTTGAGGATCGTTTCCAAGGAGCGCTTTAAGTAAATCCGAGCGTTCTCGTGAGACTTTGGCTGAATTCTGGGCGGCAAAAGTTAAGCGCCGTTTTACGATATGGATTGTTTTCCAGCAAGATGAGCATTACTGCACCTGCGAGTGACTCACAGTGCAAATCGCGAAAAACATTCGGAGGAAAAAAAAAAATCTTTCCCTAAAATAAAACACCCCACTCTACTTTTTGTTTTATTCAAGTCAATGTTTTTAATATGGTGTTTTCCACCCATCCATCCATTTTCTGATCCGCTTATCGCCAGCCAATCGCAGGCCGCACACAGACGAACGACCATCCGCGCTCACACTCACATCTCGGGACAATTTAGAGTGTTTCATGAACCTGCCATGTATGCTTTTGGAATGCGGGATGAAACCAGAGTACCCGGAGAAAACCCACGCAGGCTCGAGGAGAACATGCAAAACTCCACACAGGGAGGCCGGAGCCGGAATCGAACCCTACACCTTTGCGCTGTGAGGTGGATGTGCTAACCAGTCACCGTGATGCCCTCGGCCTGCATCATTCCATATAATTTATAGTTTAATTCCATTTTATTGCATAGTTAGTAAGTCTTAAGGCGTGGTCCCGTGGAGGGAAAAAAAAACATGTCAGAAGAGCAAATTGATGTATTTGTGAACAATAAATGGACACGAGTGAGCCAAAAATGGGGAGAGTTTCCTGGTGTGGTTTTGTGACGCTGATGATAGGGTCCGACTTGGGAATCCAAACAACATCAGCGTCTGCATCCTAAATGGCGGCTTGTATTGGCACAGGCTGGTAATGCTGCCGTAATGGAGCGCGGGCAAATGTTCTCTGAAGTTGGACAAAAAAAAAGCCCTTTTACTTGCGACTGGGCCTTCATTTCAATGCTTCGCTTTCACAGTAATGCTGATGAGGTACCCGTGCGTGACGCTTCCAGGAAACTTACATCAACCTGACTCTTTTGACTCATTTAAACCAAACAACTCCGTTTAGAGCAGGGGTAGGCAAAGTGTGTGCTCCGGCCCATTGTGCAATATCAAGAAAACTGCTCATATTTGTGATATTCATTGAGTCCCTTTTTTCCCTAAAATTGGTCAATTAATTCGTATTTTTAATTCACAATACATAATTGGTCAATTGATTCATTGCAAATTTAAAAAAAAAAAATTGAAAAAAAAATTCCATGAACATTTAACAATTTTATAGTTACTTTATTAAAATTGGTGAATTCTAATCTCATTAAAATGTATTATTTTATTTTTGAAATAAACCTTTGTAACTACTTTCTTGATCCAGTGTTGGATTTTTTATTGTAAGGGAATTATGTTGACGTGATACACCTTTATTCTTTAATTAATAAATAAAATTCAAATGAATGATCACATAATTGAAATAAACTACAGTAATATACATATCATGCATGTGCTTATTCATTTTTTTAAATTATTTTTTCCAGTTGAAAGTTGTCATTCTTGTGGGCGGGGCATGAATTGCTCACTTGTCCCATTTCCTGGTAATATTGCTTGAAATTCTTCTAAACAAGAACAAATAAAGGTCTCCGCCCACCATTTCGGTGCCCACAGATGCTGGGTAATCAGCTCTGTGGGGTATGGCAGCGTTTTGTCTAGTGCATAGGATTTATTGGTTTGAGGCCTGGCACCCAGATGAGCACTAATCAGTGGGGTTAGCAAACAGGATTGTCTTGGCTGTAACGCTCCCAATCCGCCCCCGTGAGACCCCAAGGCTCAACGTCGTGCCTTTGGAATCAGAGCCGATGCGCACACACAAACACACACACATATATGTACACACAGAGTCGATGTCCGTTTACAAAGATGGAAATGGAGGTACTGTATTACGTTGGAATCACCATTTGTTGATTTTGTCCAATACTCCGGTAAACATCTTGCATCCGTCCGTCCTCGCAGGGCTGGTGGTGAGAGAAGCCAGCATCGAGATCACTCGCCAGCAGGTGGAGGAGCTCTTTGGACCCGAGGACTTCTGGTGCCAGTGTGTGGCCTGGAGCTCGGCAGGGACCACCAAGAGCCGCAAAGCCCACGTCCGCATCGCTTGTGAGTACTCTCGGCTCCCCTTTGTCCCGTTTTTCGTCCCGCTTCTTTATATTCCAGCATCTGGAAGATACGCAGGGGGCCCGATACAGTGCCGTTGGGCCAACGTTAATGTCAGATGACGCTGCCTCCTGAGGAAATGTTTTGCAATCAAGTTGAGCACATGTGCGAACCAAGTGTCCCTTTGAACAGAATGTTACTTTCCTTGTGTACAATACAGCATAAACAGCGAACTGCACCATGTATACACAGAAAAGATGCCACGCCGTATGTTTACACTCGTGTTTTCGCCATTGATGGTCTTGATTTGTTCTCTCCACCCACTCAGAAGCATCACAAAATAGTTTCCAAAACGACAAGAGACCAAGTTTGCGCCTGTTTGGGCTTTTTCTTGAACTCCTTCAAAAACAACCTGCCAGTCAAAGCGTGATAAAAGCCCATCAGAGTTGACAGTTCTAGTTCCAGTTGCAGCATCAAGGCGATCGCGTCGCAACATAAAGCGCGTTACGTAACACAACAGCGCGCATTGTTGTCATCATTGCACCTGAAGGGACGGATCGGTGCACTTTCAACTCCTGTCGTAAGCAGCGTTCACTCTATATGCTTTACGACTGACCCAGTTGTCGTCAGTGTCTTCCTGGTTCGATGATGGCGCTTGTTCAACGTCCGGCTCGCGATGTCATATCAGTGTTCAAATATCCTTTCCCGAAAGTAAAGCTGTGACGATCAAATCTTTTTAGAATCAATTATCCTTTTGGCTTTTCCACTGAGTCATTAAATGGAATTTTCAAAATATAAAATCTAATCTTTTTTGGACATATTTGCCCACAATAATCACATCGTTGAGACTCACGCTAGACTCTGCTTAGCGATGTTCGCACATAGCAAGCTATGCTAAGCTAAGCTAACTTTGTTGCCGTTGTCACAAATTAGTTCCCATTCCCAACTTTTCTACGACTGCCATAAAGTAGCGACCAACCGGCAATGGTACGGTCACAACAGGTGACGGTATCGCGTTATGATCCCGTGCATGTATAAAAATGGCCGGGTTGATGCCATCTGGCACCGGGTTTAATCATCGTGCCAAACCATTGATCCATCCATTCTCTGTATGGCAACTTTCCACCAAATGAGGGCGCTAACTAGACTGTGAAAAGGTCATAAGTAGTTTGACGAAGTTGCCTCCTGTACGATGATGTTTCATGTCATCTGGGTCTGTCCAGGGGTGGGGTGGCCTTTGAGAAGTTTGGGAAAATATATTTTCCCGAACGGCCGGCGTATATCCGGGCCGGGCCTGGGCACCACGTCGGCCACAATAAACAGCTTGAAACATTTTATAAGTTGGGCACTCATATCTCAAAGCACTCCTGTATTTCTTAGTTAACCTAGTTTGGCTTTTGCGCCACCTTGTGCGATTGAAGCGCTTAAACGTATTCATTGGGGTTGCGCGATGTGCTACGACTCCTATAAATCGATGTAAAGAGAGGGAGGCACATACGAGCTGGGCTCTCCACTCCATTATATTCCGACCAAAGTGCTACATCCCGAGTTGATGCAAAGAGAAAGGAGGTCACGTCGACTGACTTGGCTCGAATTCGGCTATCGCTTGGACACGAAAGCGGACTGGCAGCAGCTCTGAGCCGCGCGTCTACTCCCTGCCTACACTCTACCGCTGTTTCCACCGCTGTTATTCCGGAACGGAGAGTCAGATCCATGCCTGTCGGTCCCCCACTGAGCCGTCCCCTGCTGCTCCGCCTCCTATAATCACCCATGATGAGCAGCCTGCCAGCGCTAACCTATCCCTCAAATCACAACGGACCCCCTCTTCCCCTCCCATTAGCTCCCACTGAATGGATTAGCTCCTCGACTGGGCTCACTCCCCGCATGGGCATCTTTTCACAGCCAGACACGATCCCGTCAGTATAATGGGAAAAATTGGCTTGTTTTGCTCTCCTTCTCCCACCATGTGAACATATACACTTAAATCAGATCGTGAGTCACAGTTGGCGCAGGCGAGGTGTCGTGCTGGAGAAGTGCCTTTTCGACGCACAAAATTAAAAGTGTTTTTAACGTGCGCGCGTTCGCTGGAGGACAAAACAAATGCACAAAGTCCTTGGGATAGCCCGCCCCCGTTCGAAGAGATTACTTACAAGAGAGCCGCAACGAGTGTGTTTTCACACGGCGCAGATGAAACAAATGAATCAAATCGATGCCTTTGAAAAGACGAAAAGAGAACAAATTGATTGTGTGGAATTGTTTTTGTTTTATGACCAAAACAAAACGTTTCACGGTTCCCAAGAGTATCGCCGAATTGCTCGGAGAGGACGAAAAACATTAGAAACACCCAAAAATGCTCCCTACGGGACCATATGGGGTAATGACTGAACCAGTCCAACAGCTTTTTCGCGGCTCACTCGAGTGTTGTGCGAGAGCAAATAACAAAGATGCCGAATTCCAAATAACCTCTTTTGTATGTGACTCATTCAGATGACGGTAAAGCTGCCGTCAGCAATTAACGGGAACTCGTACCCATGTTTCATTGTGAACGCACAAAATTATAGGCAAACATTGGACACAACTGCGGCCATATTAGATGGCGTAGGCAAATAAGCTTGGCGATTTAGCGACACACATATCGAGTATAATCGCCTCCAACTGTGGGTTTTTTGAGCAAATTCAGTCATTCTTTCATGTGCCAGACTGCGGCCATATTAGATGGCGTAGGCAAATAAGCGTGGCAATTTAGCAACACACATATCGAGTATAATCGCCTCCAACTGTGGTTTTTTTTGAGCAAATTCAGTCATTCTTTCATGTGCCACTAGAGACAGCCCACACACCGCTCGTGGTATTTGTACCACACACTCATTGGGTTCGGGGACTTTGGTCTATTTTTGATTTTTGCTAATGTTCTCAGCAGTTAACATTTTTTTTTCTATTTGTATCGCTGGTTCCTAGGATGATGGAAACAGCCCAAAAATATTACCTCATATTGCAGTTTTTATTTTTCTGAAGTGTATCACGTTGCAGCGAAACACTTGATCCTCCCTCTTCCCCTGTCATATTTCAACTCACAGAAGCAGATGGCAGAACACCAACTTTTCACTTTAAATCACAAAACACTATTGATGCAAATTTTTGGATTCACCTTTTTTCCTCACTCTTATTTCCTCTTTTCACGCCCACGCATCTACTTACCTTTCTCGCCCTTTCTTTTTCTCCCCGTTCCTCTCCATTAGCCACAGTATAGTTTTAAATACGCACCGTCAGTCAGACACACGATCCCTTCAGATTTCATAGCAGACTTTTATGGAAATGACTGCCACGTCAACCGTTTTAGCAGTGATTTTACTTTTACATTTGTATATCAATGTATTCCACAATTACTATTTGAATGCGCATATCATAGTTTAAAAATGTTTCGTAAAGATTGAATATAAATATATTCTACTAACACAACGGAACTGTATTGACGCAGTGGGTTTTTTTTTTGTGTACCACTAGAGGGAGCCCACCTACCAATCTATACTCCTGGTGAAGAAGTTACTAATGCATTCCAAATATTAACATAAAATGTAACTTTCTTCATTGTAGACCTGCGGAAGACTTTTGACCAAGAACCGCTCGGGAAGGAAGTGTCACTGGAACAGGAAGTGTTGCTTCAATGCCGCCCACCCGAAGGCATCCCGATGGCTGAGGTAAGCTATGAGTGAAAACATTAATGTTAGCGGGTTTCTTTTTTTTTTTTCCCTCTCTCTTCTGCCTGCTGCATGTACGGAAATTCTTTTTCCATCGCCTTTTTCTGGGCAATTTCATCTGTTTGGCTAACACAGCTAATAAAATTTGAGAAGGGTGGGGGTGAAGAACAAGAGAAGAATTTGAGAATCAAACCAGCTGTGTCCCTGTGTTACTTCCTCCCAGTCAAGAGGAGAACATTATAAACGTGCATTTGAAAAGGCTCACTTGAGATTGCAGGAACATAAATACAGGATGAAAGACTAGATTGATGTGGGGCGGTCGGGGGGGCCGCTCTGGCGAATGTGTGTGCGCGCGTTTGTGTTTTGTGGTTGGGGGGGGGGGGGTCGGAATGAACCCTGTCAAGGCTTGTGATTGACCTGGAAACGGCGAGTTAACCGAGTGGAACTGCACAACATTTATCCGCACTCAAAGTGCTGACAGGCTAAATGGCCCCAAAGTTTCAGGCACTACTCAACAGACTGTCCTTAAACAATCCATACAAGCTCGAGTTGCCTGCAGCAGCCATAAAGTGTCTGCGGCGTCTTCCAAGTTCTTCCCGTCAGCTGCGGATTTGCTTGGTGCGGCGATTAAGGGCACAGCGGGGTGCTACGCTAACTCAAAATGGATGACAATGATTGGTCAGCAAAGAAGATGGATTCGTAGTCTTCTTCATTTTTCAGTCTTTGAAGAAGAAATCCATCCATTTATTGTGTCTTGTCTTCTTTTGGGTCACCAGGGAGTTGGAGACGATCCCAATTGACTTTTGGTGAGAGGCTAATGGCGTTTGGCATTACTGTATATGTTGTTAGCTTTAAGCTAGCAGACTTTCATTGAATGAAATCATGCGGCTCGGTTGAAGATTTTTGTGCTTAAATATATATTCCAAAGTAAAGCAGTTCGGCGCCGGCATATTCACATTTTTTTTGTGAATTTTTTTTTTTGTGCATTGCCAGTCAGGTTTGGCAGATACAGAAGCATGCTTTCAGATTCTTTAATTACTCCCTCTTACCTCATGCTTGAAAAAGACAAAGGTTCCATTGCATCATGTATTTTTCCACCCCTAAACTCAAACACAGCTGGACACAAGAGAACATTGTTGTGAGCGGAGGAAAAAAAAAAAAAACAGATGTGCAGCATCTTAGGTTTCATCTGGATCTAGAGAAATACATTGCAGACGCTGCGATGGAAAGATCTGTCATATTTCACCCTCCGACGAAGGAAAACATGGCACGGGGAAGATGAGACGTCTCGAGCTGGTGTGGTTGCTTGGCTGGCTGCACGGCCGACTGCGGTTTAAAACACTCGATACAATTTTCTTATTAAATTGTGCTGACTACATGCGATTGACTTTGTTGGACAGTCAAGCGGCAGCCTCGCAATCATGGGGAGTCCAAGAAATCAGTTCTTCTTGCAAGATGGAGTCGGGCTTTTTGACTTTGCGAACTACTAAAGCGCCTTGGACTCAGCTTTGCCCGAATGAAGTCTTTTCCTCTGAACTAAAACTTTTTTTACCGAAAGGGTTCTGACACTTTTTAACACAGAACAACGAAAGCTGAAAAGTCTTTTGCGGTGCTCAGACCCAAAGCGAGTTGAGGATTTCTGTCCAACCAACTTGGCCCAATGGACAAACTGCGACCCCTGGTGGTTTTCGGGGGGAATATTTCAAAGTGACACATTTAATGTACTGTACTGTTATTGTATTGAACCACATGGCAGGATTTTCAAGGAAAGAATCAATCGCCCAGATTGCTAAATACAGCGGTATGCCTCAAAGTAACTGGACCAAGACTCATCCTGAAACTGGCACCCCACTGGGTTTGACCTCAGATCCACATCACCATCTTTGAACTGGACTCCAGGGATGACTATTATTGTTGAACGGTACGGAGGAGGAGGAACAAGAGTGCGGTTGATTTGGCCCGAAGACTGTTGTGTGCTCTTTCTCTGTATTGTGGCACTTAGATGGTCCAAAGATGAAGACGCAGACCCAGCGCGCCACGCAGAACCTTTCCTTTGAGATCCTCGGCGAGACTCTTTCATTCTTACGATCCTCCTCGCGAGAAGCCCTCAAATCCTTTCATACTTGATAATGCGATGCGGCCTCATAAAACAGAATCTGCTCGGTGGCGGAATGGAATTTTTTTGTTCCTTTTCTTCCACTGCGTCCGCGGTCTCCTCACTTCAGAGCCGAAAGAAAGACCAGGGTTCAGAGGTGAATGCGGCGCTCGGAGCTGCCAACGCGCCTTCGTTTCTATGGGAGTCGGACGTTAATTCAGGCATCTCCTCAGTCAGCCGGGGTCCTGCAGCGTTATCATGGGGTAGCTAGCCATTGATGCGCCGCAGGGGTGGTGGGTTGGGGAAAGGGGGGCCCTGCTGCCTTGAGTAAGTCTATTGGAATTGCTGAGAAGAAAAGGAATTCGTCAACCAAGAACAAAGTCTGTCTACTGTCGCGTGAATTAAAACTGATGCCCAGGACATACTGGTGACTAAATGCATTCACACAGACTTTTAGGCTCAATGGAACAAAATCCCTCCTATAGAGGGAGGGAAAAAAGGTCTGAACTCACCTATGAGGAACTCAGTACACCAGAAAATATATTCATTACACCAGGGAATCTTAAGCTTTCTGGGTCTAGGGACTCCTTACAGGTGAGAATTGTTCCAGAGGACCCCGTTTGTAATCCTAATTCACAACCAAATGCATGCCAAAATGCCATGGGATTTCTTTTTAAACCTAAATAGTCACTCAAATATGCAAAAAAGGAACTTCAGCCAATTCTTTTGAATGTGTTGCTAGCTGCCGTGCACTGCTTGCACTAATAACGGAGCCGCAAGGCTTCGGACTGGTGTAGTTTCTTTCCAAATAAGACTTGTTGCAGAACTGACGAAGCCTGCTCGGGTGAAAGGCGGAACCGCTTCTCAGACAACCAGAACAGTGCAGTTGCAATCGATTCAACACACTGAGAACTTCGGAGACTTTAGTCCGTCGTATTTTTCGGGCTTGGCCTGACTGTCAGCCGTGTAAGCCAAACGTTTCCACATCTCACTCTGTGCCTCTCTTTTTTTCATTACGAGGCATACATGAGCGTGTAAGCTCGTGGTCATTTCCACTGACTGCCACAACAAGTTGAAAAGAGAATCAAGTCAATCCTTTTGACTGATACCAATCAACTCAAAACGTCTTGATCAGCCCCGGTTTACGATCACAATCTCGGTTGCTTTAGCGATTAAAATCACGCTGTGAGTGTGGACGTAGCTTTAGGTGTAGTCACCGTGGCTGTAATGCTCGACAAAGGTCGAGGGTTGAGCTTGCATCCAACCATGTTGTGCTTACCAGGCCAGTTTCACTTGATAGCAGAGATATGTTCCCGAAGCGACGTCTTCTTCTCCTCAAAGCGTCGATTGCCACGACTGTCAAGAAGAGCACGGCTTGAGGAGCTTGTAAAAGGTGACGTGTGTGTGTGTGTGTGTGTGTGTTCATTAAAGTGACCCCAGGAGAGCAGGGGTGTCAGGAGGCCACTTGCAAGCCTCCCTGGCAGTCCAGATTGACCTCCAGGCGCTCACTTGTCAATCACGCCGAGCGTTGTTGGCAAATCGCTGTGGTTGACTCTTCAAGTGCTCCGTAAGTCATGACTCTGCCTTTAGAAACACGTTTGGACCAGAAGGAGGCAACGGCGCTGCTAAAAGCAAGCGAATCATTGTTTATGTTTCCAAATAAAGCGGAGAAAAATGCTTCTTTTTCTCCCAGCAATCTGGAACTGTTGGGAAGGTGAATTGCTCCGAGCCAGGTGGTTGCCTTTTTTTTACTTTTGATTTAACATGAAAATGAGGTTTTAATGAGCGAATTCACGTTTCTTTTTTTTTTTTTAAGGCAAACACTTTCATAATCAGCCCAAAATGTGTTGGAGGGTGATGTTGAACTTGAGTCGGTGTACTTATTTATATCTTCGCCGCTCCACAAATGACATCCGCGCTTTAATGTGACTCTTCAAGCCAGCCCCACAGAAAGAAAAAAAAAGCAGTTGTGCATTCGTAATGCACATTAGCATGAATTGTACAAATCTCACCAAGTGTATTCACACAAGGTAACAAATCGATTTTGGCTAATTGAATATACCCTACCGTCGCTAATTAGAACGTACAGTAATGCCAACGTCAAGTTATTAAGGACAGACGCAGCCAACTCCACTTTCAATCACGTTATTGAACTACTGCTCAGAAAAGAAACACATAATGAGAACATTTATACACGACGTGCCGACTGGCATAAAGTCACGGCAAGTCGTTCAAGACGCAAACTAACATTTGCTGACACCCACGTCACTCACCAAGCCAGGCCTTGTCTTTTAAAGCCACACAAAGTACCTCATGCACAATATTAAGGTTTATAATGTAAAATCAATCAAATAAGATATAGAATACTCCATTCTAAAAATACATTTGAAGCGTTATCTTCTGCATAATTCCCCGTCGCAAAAAAAAAAATAAAGGATGACTGAAAATCATATTCTCCTGGGGAGGAAAAAAACTTTTAGAAACCTCAAAAACTCTCTTGCCATCTCTCCTTCTGTGTTAAAATTTTCACAGCTTGACATTTCCATACTTGTCACACAGGCAGATGCGCCACATATGTGCCCGTTACCTTGCCGTGAACAATTGAATAATTAGCTTGTAACTTTTTTTTTTTTTTTTAAGCGGCATGTCCTCCAGGTGTGTCATTTAAGACCCCTCGGGGCAGATTTATCGGCACGACTCGCTGTACAGCACATTGTGCTCCGTGTTCTACTTCTGAAAGATCACTGATGAGAAATGAATGGCTTCGTCTTACACAAGCTCTTAACAAGTGAGCCAAGATACGAAATGTATTATTTTATTTATTGTCCTTGTCCTAACAGTTATATTTTCATGAAATGCTTTGCTACAGAATATGTAGATCAAACTCGGCCTTCACAGTTCAGCTACTATTTTTTTCTTTTTTTTTTTTTTTTTTTTAATTAACATTACTGCAGAGCAAACTTGTATGACAGCCTTGATCTCAAGTTCTCGCCGCTAACCTTCGACTGGATCGCTCTTCTCAAGCACTCAGTACATGTCTTTGGACTTGCTTATATAGGGGCCGATTTACATTGGATGATAAATTCACATCTTTGTTTGACTCGTCGTCTCTGTGACTTGCTGACATGTGGCAGTTTTCACCCCGGTTAATGACCAAAAATGTTGCAATTACTTTTTCCGGAATTTCCACTGCCAATCAGGAGCTAATGAGTGTGTGTGTGTGTGTGTGTGGGTGTGTGTGCGTGGGCGGGGTGAAAAAAAAGTTGTGCGAGTTGTGGGGAAATGTGATGTCTACTCAGGCTTACCTTTTCATCTCTACTTTTATTAATGAGTCCTAATTATAGTCGGCTGAGAAAAATGTGAGGATTGCAGCGTTGCTCAGTTTCACTTTCTCTCTTTCTTGCTCGACCACTGCCTGTCCCTCACCCCCGCCCCCCCAGACCC